AAATTGAACAGGTGTTCCTAATAATCCTTTAGGTGAGTGTACATCACACTAAATAGTTAGACATTATGATCTTCCGGACCTTTGCTTCAAGAAATTTTCTCTAACTGGACCTCTTAAAATTTTAGTTGAATACCCCTGCAATAGAGCTACTGTATTGAACTAATTAGATTTTTTTAAATCCCAATATCGCAATATATATTGCAGAAAGAATCAATATCACAATGTGATTTCTTCCCAATATCGTGCAGCCCTAATATACCTACATATATATACATATATATGTATATATAGCAGTGCCGGGCGGAATGACACAACAAAAGACACACAGTGGGAAAGTTATACAGGCTTAGAACACACAAGGATTGTACAAGGCACACACAAGACATAGGCAAACGCATGTGCGACAATAAGGAAATGCAACCATTAACAACAACAACAGTACAAGGGCTATTCACATTACAGACAGGGGCTATTTACAATTGCATGCAGGGCATGCTGGGACATGCACCCTGCTGGCGCTACAATATTTTATTAAGTGTTTTAAGTACTTTAGATATATAAAATACAATATCTCAAGTATTTTTTACAAATTACATCTGATTTTTTTCCCGTCCTGCAAAGTACAAATTAAAAATACTTAAATATAATTAAATATGTATTTTAAATGCTATATTTAATTGAAATACTTCCCATCTCTGTGTGCAATTGCTCTGCACCATTTGGAAATGTGCAAAGTTTTTCAAGGCATGTTTTATTTATGTTGCTCTTTTATAAATTTCACAGCCGTTTTGTTCATATGAAGACTTTATAAATGTGCCCACTGGTCCTGAAATATAGCCATGCAAAATATTTACAATATCTTAGCAGTGTGATCCTTAACAAAGCTAAGGAAATCAACAAAAAAGCAAGCTCAAAAATGCTTTCCAAATCATAACAACCATAGATACATTTATTTCTCCAGCAATTCACGAATGACTACACAATAAAGAAATTCTTCTGTATAAATCCTTTCAGAAAAGCTACAGAATGTAATCCAACAATGTGGGACTGCCTGCTGATACAGATATCTACACAGATATGCACTCTTAACACAACCAGATACACCTACTGTATGCCCAGGCTACTTCCTTGCCTTCTGGTCATGTCCTCCAAAGTACTAGTTTTGGTAAGATGTCACTGCCAAGCTGTTATTTTAATTGGATTTACCATCCTAGCATCTACATTAACTTAAGTAATAAGTACTGCAACAATTTCTTAATAAGCTAAAATTGGCCAGAGGAACACATTTAATTGTCTTTAAATGATGCTGAGCAAACAAGTTTAGGTCATACCAACGATGGTCTACAGCAGTGGTGGGCAATCTTATTCACAAAAGGCTGGTATGTATGTAGGTTTTTGGGACAACCTTTAGGTCAACTGTTCAAACCCAGCTATAAGAACTCTTCAGCCAATCAGTCCTCTAATTAGTAATCTAATTAGGGAGTTGCAGTGAAAGCCTGCATACACGGACAAGATTGCTCACCCCTTGCCTTTATACAGGCTTGAGTGTTGTAGGGGTAGAGCATTTTTTCCTGGAATGGCCTTTCTCTAGCTTTAAAGCTAGAATTAGGGTTATACAAAGAAATTATGAAATAAAATAGTTGATTAATGTTATATTTGCTATTATATTCAGTTCTAAATTGGTTATGTTGATTTGGCACATATTAACCATTATAACTAGGATTTGACAATACCTGCCTAATTAGCATATGATGATGCCTATAGTGAAACATCACGGTGGATGATGATATGGGGGGGTTATATTTTTATGTTTCTTCTACACTTTTTAAATAACTATAACATTTAATTACTATTAATTTATTACTATTTCTATTTTTTTTTGCATTTTGAGCCCAATCACAGCCTATCCTCTGCTATTCACCTGCTCTTTCCTCCCTTTTCCTTCATATGGCATGTGTGAGTCTCAAATGTGTACTTCAGTACTTATATAAGCTTGTTATTTTGAGTGAGCCAGTGCAAACCGTGTAGTCTATTTAATCTATTTTAACTACACTGTCAGGAAAAAGTACCAATTTGTACCTTTGGTACAATTACTTGTCACTGGGCCTGTACCCTGTAGGATCTACTGGTTGTACATTATCTGCAGGTACATGTACGGTTTAAGGTACAGAAATGGACTTTGAGGAACATTTTTGTACTATTCAGGGTATATTCATTGTGTTTATACCTTGGGGAACAAATCCTTACCATGGCTGTACCCTTTCATTCTGACATTGTAGGCCAATTTCAATTATTTAGAATTTTGTTAATTTTGTATAATTCATTTCGTTCGCGTAAGATCTAGTATTATTTGTTTAGTATTTTTTCTTGAATGTTTAAATTGTATTAATTGACCTCTTTTGAATGTAAAACCTAAATCCCGAGTTTGAGCCTAGACAGCGGGCTGTCGTTCTGTTTGCTGTCTAAATAAAGGTGTGATTGGGTCCAACTTCATTCTTTTTTTGCGATTTATAATAATTATTTGTTTTATTATGACTATATTAACTAATCAGAAAAAGTAATTACTTTAAGTCGCTGAAGTACGGCTAGGTGGTTAGCCTAAACTAGGGTGAAATGCAATGCGAAATATTAGGATAACAGGCAGGATGTGAGAATAAATCAGCAAGTATAGTCATTACAGTATTAGTAATTAATTATATTATTTCCTAAACATGAAATATTATCAGGGCGATAAATGGCGTAAATGGTTAGGCTAATAATATAACGATTATGAAGAATTTAAGACGGGGACGGCAGAGAACGGGAGAGTTCGCTCTGTAAGTAGTTCTTAAACCTCTTTTTCCGATACAAATGAAGACTAAATAAATTATAAATGTCTGCGAAAATCTTCGTGGAACATAGTGTTTTAAGAATCTTATGATTTTCAAAATATGAGAGTATATTTAGGAAGTTAAAATTTAATTACCTACAGTAGGTTATCATTTCCTGTAATGCAATTTCCAACAAGTATCAGCTAAACATCACGCACACATATATCATGATGATGGTGGAACAATCGGAGGGTAAAGTGACGGTTGTTGCCTAACGACGTCATGTTTAACCGTATAATCTGCTTCTTCCAAATTCTGCTTCGCTTACTAAAAACTACACGTATTCACTAAATCAAAAATAAAATTAAGCCAAATTTGCCAATTGATTTTTTATTGATTTAAGAAAAATGCGATCACAACGCTGCCGCCTGTGATATTTAAACCCGAAAAACCCTTACCCTTATTGGCACTGCGAAAATATATTTTCATTTATTACTTATAATTAAATATACAAATAAAGAAGTTGAGAAAAAAAAGGACTGCAGCAGTAGTTAACCAGAAAAGGCGCCTCTTTCTTACCTATGCCCCCCATAAGGCAGTTGAACAACAGTAATAAAGAAGCAGAAGCCATCGCTGTTCTCTTCTTTTTGTTTAATAAAGAAAGTGAGTAACTGTGAGCCCTCAAACGATTTCCTGTGCTTTACCATAACGAGGCGTTACCTCGCATTCTGACCCTGGGAACGAGATGTGCAGTTACGTTTCTGCTTTCGCAACTGTATTCACCCGCCGTTTGAGGTGTGAAGATGTGTGTGCAACGTCTATAAAATGACATTTAAACTTTAAACATTTTAAATATGCATGTATTAATACCACAGTTTCAAGGGAACAAATTATATGCATGAGTTAAACGACAGGAAGGTGTATTTAAACTGCAGTTAATTGCATTATTGGCGTCCTGGGTTGGTACACAAGATACTTTTTTGAAAATATATATATTTTTGGTTTCATTTCAGTGTTTTGTTACTGCTTTTCGGCAAAGGAGAGGCGCAAGATGTTGGTATTAAACACACGAACATAGTTCACGGCAGTAAGTTTCATCTGATGTGGATTTCTTCTGTTACCCTCTCTCTGTCACCATGGGCGTAAATTATGGGGGGGATAGGGGGGTTGTAGCCCCCCCAATAAATAAAAACCAGCTAATACAACCCCCCCAATAATCATGTTTCCCCTGTAATGGTTGGAGACCTCAAGCCCCCCAGTGTTCCAGCCAAAGTTACGCCCTTGTCTGTCACACACACAGACATTACATACAAACACACACACAGTTCAGTTTAGTAAGTTTTCACAGAAGTTCACAGAAGTTTTGAATTTCAGTGTCTTGATTTTGATAAAAAATTATATTTTATAGATCAAGGATATTGTGATAACTAAAACATGCTTGCTACTTTTTACTTAAAAATGTCATTTTCCTTTTACTAGTCTTTGTCTTTATACAGCCAATTTAACTTAGTGAAGACCCTGTCTGTTCACAAATTAAAGAAACTGCAAAATGATGTTAAAGAATGATTTTATTACATTTAATGATTGTTGCAGCTGCCCCTGTGGACTGGTATGACTCTCTTTTGCTATGGAATCAGGTGCTTCATTTGAGTTTGTCTGTTTAAGTGTAAATTGTACGTATGCTATCATATATACATGTTTGCAGCAGTGCGAGTGAGAAGCTGACAGATGCGGGTTTAATGTAGGCCTATTACAATTTTGTTTTTCTAATACAAAAAGTCTCTGACAAATTGAAGAAATTTTAAAAAGTGTTGCAGCCTCTCCCCTAATTCTTGTTGTAAACATTCATAGTTTATTCATGATGCATATGTTTCTCACATTCTGTCATGTTCACTTTTTGTAAGTGCTCTATCTCTTAGTAAATATAACAGCAGCAGCCGAAAAGGGAAGCTGTCTGGGGCGGTGTGTGACGCTGTCCCGGATCAGAAAGTCACTGGTTCATAGTGAAACGAAATAATAGCCTTGTCTGCACTCATCTGCAGTAGCTAAGATGAACATGTTGACTTCAGGCCAAAGGTCTCACATTCCACATTCTTCTATCTATAGAAATATGCTGAAATAACGGGCCAGCACAACTGCTTTCGTTATTTTTTGGTTTAATATTTTTTTTGGTTTAATAATAACGTAGAAAAAATTTCAAACTAGCCATGGTCTGATCTACCACTGTTGAAACATTGTCGAATTACTCAAGTGTGCAGTTAGTGGGCTATAGAACAGCCTGACGAGATTAATGAACTAAAGCAATTCTACAAAGAGGAACTCACCAAATATAGATCACCAGAGAATTCAGTCTCTTTCAGGATGTAGTTGTTTGCTAGTTTCACATTCAGTCATCTGGTATTCTTTCTTCAATAGCTCTTGAATGGTTAGTGCAACAAGGTTAACATAGATTAATTTAATTTTTCTTGTAATTAAGACAAGCAGCTACAACATCATTATATTCAAAAACTGATGCCTTTTAAAAGCTGTACAAAGAGCTCTATGACCAAATTCCTGAATGTTCCACTGGGGGTTAATAAAGTATGTGTGTGTCAAAACTAGTTTTTATTTTAATGTTTTTTTTTTTCAATTTTGTTTCCTTTTCAGGATTTTATTTTGGTTTTTATTTTTACTAAAGCTTCCTTTTTTAATTTAGTTTTTACTTTCTTTTTTCTTTTATAAACAACATTGTACAACAAAACAGACACATTCACAGACATAGATAACTTGAAAGAAAAAAAAACAACCCTCCTTGACAACATGATTACACATGTAGAATTTTTTCACACATTTAGGCATAACTTAACAGGTGACCATCTCTATGAACATATCCATTTTAAGTTGGAGGCGGGCTGTTATGCTCTCCATCATATGTACTTGTCGGAGTCTCTGAGTCCATTGAAGCAGGGTGGGTGAGTCAGGCTTTGTCCAGTGAAGTGTAATTGTTTTTCAGGCAGTCATCAGAAGTACATGCAACATATATCTATCTATCATTTCCAATCACAGTATCTGGTATTTCATTCAGTAAGAAAGTTTGATTTTCAAGATATTGTCTATCTCACATCTAATCTCCTGCCAAAACAAATATATTTTCGGACAGTCCCAGAATATGTGTGAATTATCACCTATCTTCCCACATCCACCACATGGCTGCTGAGTGACCCTTACATATTTTCGAGATAATCAGAGGTGTCATTTTTGTTTTCCAGTCAAACTCCTTACATACAATACCATTAATACCCTTATGGCAGTCAGCACAAATCTTTTCCCACAAGTAATCCTCAATTATAATAGTGCTGTACGACTCCATCCATTACCTTCCGCTTGTCCGGGGTTCTGGTCGTGGGGGCAGCAGCTTCAGGAGAGACACCCAGACCTCCCTCTCCCCAGCTACCTCTACCAGCTTTTCGGGGAGGACACCGAGGCGTTCCCAGGCTAGCCGAGAGATATAATCCCTCCAGCGAGTCCTGGGTCTGCCCCGGGGCCTCCTCCCTGTAGGACATGCACGGAAAACCTCACCGGGTAGCCGCCCAGGAGGCATCCGCACCAGATGTCCAAACCACCTCAACTGGCTCCTTTCAATGTGGAGAAGCAGCGGTTCTACTCTGAGACTCTCCCGGATATCCGAACTTCTCACCCTATCCCTAAGGGAGAGCCCAGACACCCTGCCGGAGAAACCTCATTTCGGCCGCCTCTATTCGCGATCTCATTCTTTCGGTCATTACCCATAGCTCATGACCATAGGTGAGGGTAGGGACGAAGATGGACCAATAGATCGAGAGCTTTGCTTTCCGGCTCAGTTCTTACTTGTGAACAAGACCCCGAGATACTTAAACTCCTCCACTTGAGGCAGTACCTCTTCCCTGACCTGAATAGGGCAATCCACCTTGGACTTGGAGGTGCTAATCCTCATCCCTGCCACTTCACACTCGGGTGCGAACCATCCCAGAGCACACTGGAGGTCCCCAGCAGATGAAGCCAACAGGACGACATCGTCTGCAAATAGCAGCGAGGCAATCCTGAGGCCACCAAACTGGACACCCTCAACACCCTGGCTGCACCTAGAAATCCTGTCCATACATATTATAACTGGCACTGGGAACACGTCCGACTTATTACCGGCAATAAAGACCAAGCTTCTGCTCCTTCATATATACTCCTGAAGCACCCCCCACAGAACACCTCGGGGAACCCGGTCGTAAGCCTTTTCCAAATCCACAAAACACATGTAGACTGGATAGACAAACTCCCAGGCCACCTCCAGTACCCTCGCAAGGGTATAAAGCTCCTCCAGTGTTCCACGGCCAGGACGAAAACCGCATTGTTCCTCCTGAATCTGAGATTCGACTATCGATCTTACCCTCCTCTCCAGTACCCCGGAATAGACTTTCCCAGGGAGGCTGAGAAGTGTGATCCCCCTGTAGTTGGAACACACCCTCCGATCCCCCTTCTTAAATAAGGGGACCTCCACCCCGGTCTGCCAATCCAGCGGCACTGTCCCTGACCTCCACGCACTGTTGAGAAGGCGTGTCAGCCACGACAGCCCCACAACATCCAGAGCCTTTAGGTACTACAGGTGGATCTCGTTGACCCCCGGGGCCCGTCCACCACGGAGCTCTTTAACCACCCTGGCCACCTCAGCCCCAGTGATGGGCAAGTCCACCCCAGCACCCTCGGGCTCTGTGCCCTCAAATGTCTCAAAGGCGTAGATGTATCTGAGGCAGTGTTGAGGGGGTCCTCAAAGTATTCCTTCCACCTCCAGGTGATGTCCCCATGTCAGGTCAACAGCACCGCCTCTCAAAAGTCAAAAAAATAAATAAAAATTATAGTATTGAATCATCTGCTGCAAGTTGGGTCACACCTCCTCTGCAAGGTGCATGTTATCAGGTGGGGAGATCTGCTCCAGGATCTCCCTCGATCGAGTAGCGAGGGCTCGAGCTGCGGGGTCCTTTTTGACCTAGGGCTGTGTACGCCAATAGATCACCTCGTGGATCTAGTCTGAGCGAAATTGCGACCGCTCCAGCCTTAACTAAAAAACCGCGCTCTGACCAAATTCCACCCGCTCCGCCCCTCGCTCAAGCTCCGCTCCACTCCGCTCACATGCTCTGCAGAGAACATACCTAAATTGTAACCCACCCATAAGCTGTTCTAGATAAAAGTGTCAAATAAATTAGCTAAAATGTAACAAAAAATCTTATGTTATGTACTTCCCACATACAGTGTCACGTAAATGAAAATATCTAGACACTAGTTTGCTTAATTTTGGTTAACATTGAAATTCATACTAATGTACATTTGTAAGTGTCCACAAAAAAATGTAATTCAATGAGGTTCATCTGGGTTGTCTGGTATAACGTCCTCAGTCCACCAGATGTCGCTGTTTAATGTCACGAAACAGCAACATTTTTTCTCGACACATTTGTGCAACACCTCATGTGCTTCATGAAGCGTCATCCTAAAAAAAATTAATTCACAGCCTTTAATATAATAATACAGTGACATCCCTGTGACTAAAAATTGCAAAAAGGAAAAAAATATGCAACAAATATTAATGTGCGGACTCACTAAGCCCTTATACTGGCGACTGTTACAAGAAAATGCCTCTGTTTTCTTCCCCCCAGATGTCATGTCACGGGCAAGGACAGAGGCAAAAGCAGGTATGAGGGAAACCCAAAAGGGCTTTATTAAAGCA